GATTGATATCGATGGCTCGTGCAGAGAAAGCATTTCTACATCTGGTGGCGTGGTGGGCAACAATGAAATTCATTGGCTTATTGGTTTCAATTCAAATGTGAAAAACTTTCCCCTACTCTTACCAAAACTGTTGCAATTATTCAGGGTCTGGAACTTTGCTCTGGAGTTCCAACGTATTAGTGTGTTTACCGGTTGTACAAAGGCAATCAATCTTCTCACACGCTCTATCGGATTTAGTAACACATCATTTTAGATACAATTGACTATGCTAGACTTCTTTTGTTCGGGACCAGTTGTGTTTCTTTTTCCTTTATATTTAGGGAGGTAGAGCTGTCAACTAGAGCCGGCTCTTGAAGGATCAGGGCCTAAACGAGTTGGCCCTAATAAGCCCGATTGCATGTCAGGGTTTCATTTTCTAAAGCCCGGCCCTAACCCTCAGGGCTAAAGGGCCGGCCCTCAGGGCCTCGGCCCTATTTTTTTAAAATTATTTTTTAATTAAAAATTATAAAATATATATTTATAATTATAAAAAAAGTTATTATTCATAAAATTAAGTTTAAGAAAGTAAATTTAAATCAATTTACACCACAACAATAAAAAAAACTAAAATATTTAGGTCTAATATCAAATAGCAACATCAAAGTGAATACTAATAAAAATTAAACTTAACTAATATTATCAGCTAAATCTTAATAAATAAATGAGGGATGAATGAATGCATTTAATATGTTTATTTCTTTAAATTATGTATTTAATCTTTTATTTTTTTTATATTATATTTTTTAAAAAAATTATAAACGGGCCTAAAAGGGCCGGCCCTTTTATTTTCGGACCTAAAAGGGCAGGTCCGATTTATTTTTTACAGGTAAAATAGAAGTCCGATCCTTAATTTTTTCAAGTCTAAAAGGGTCAGCCTTACGAGTTTGATTCTAATTGACGGCTCTATAGGGGCAACTGTTAATTTGTATCCATTTATTAGCCACCAATGATCCTGATTTACCAGGGTCTTTTACTTCCTCTGAACAACCTTCACTTTATTGTTGGAAGTGATGAATGATAATTAAAGGCGATGTACTCCTTTGTACTGTTCTAAACTTTGATAGATTATTGTTATCACTTTGATGTGTTTTTTTTTTTAATAAAAAAAGTAGACCTATCAATTAACTATGCCTGAGACAGGAAGGATTATCCTCTCCGTTGCAATCAACCTACTCGTTAAATTTTCTCCTGGATCAAATTTCTTTTGGTTGTGCATCTCAATTATAGTAATTAAATTTTATTAATGCTCTGCAAATTAGTAAGATGTATTTCTCTTCAAAAATTTAAAGCAACCATTACAAGTAGAACACTCTTTACATATATATTGCTCATATATATATAAAAATTGGGAGTGAGTATATATTTTTTAATTATTATATGACAATATCCTTGACAACTGTTTAATTAAATGTATAGTTGAGGCATTCATTGGATCACTGTATCCATATTTTCTCCTGTGAGTCACTCCTCGAGGCTTCGCCCATTGATCCTCGCTGTGCTCATTCATCCTCGCAAAGTTGTATTCAATTGAATATTCATTCCTGTGAATAACTGTCTCTATTGAAAACAAGTAATTAATTAATTAGCCATAAAAATGTGATTAAAAAAAAGCCTCGGGCAACTGGACTAGGATATATTGTAATGTAATCGTAAATTAGCAAATACTAGTATTGTACAATTTGTAAGGGCATGGCAAGGAACGACATGAATAATTTCCCCGGAAAAAAGAGAGCAAGAGGGAGGAATTCCGCTTAATTAGAATCATAAGCATTAGTAGTTGTGCTAATACTAATACTAATAATAAAATGATGAAAGTCGGGCGCCCTAGGAGAAGACCGTACAAAGATCCTGCAATCCACGGTCCACCTAGGCAGATGATTCTCAGTTGCAATTTCTGTGGTCCCCACCAACCGCGTGCTCCCACGTGTGCATCTGTACTGCCTGTCGGCCTTGCATCCATTTCCCCTCGATTCTCGAGCCCTATGCCACGTGTTCCAATTTCCGTCGTCGATCCCTCCCCCTAGATCCCAAAATACATTGAACTGGGCTTTGATTTGACATCCCTCCGCTCTTTCTTTTTTTTTTTTTGGGGGGGGCATTTAGGGGATCCGCACGTTACATTTGGTCTCCTTGTGGGGACCACTTTCTACTTCGTCATTTAAAATGACAGCTCCTTGTTTTGTTAGCGTTGGTGCCACAGGCTACTAAACGGCTGAACCCATTATTGCTCTGGTTTCGTTCACTTGGATATGTAATTTTTCTCCCGTAGATTTTAAACCAGTAGATCAGGTGTGTGTTTAAATTTCAGTTGAATATAATAAATTATAAAAATAATTAATTAAATAATAAATCTTGATTATAATTAATTGTACTATAACACAATTTATTTAAATATTATTTTTTAAAAATTAATTTTAATAAAATTAAAGACATTTAAATAATTTATTTAAAATTAATTTTAATTGTATAAATTATAATAAAAGTTATTAATTTTTAAAATTAAATTATTAATAAATTTATATCTAATATTATTAAATTTTTTTTTGAAATGAATTTTTTATTAAATTTTGTGTTTTTTTATAATTTTTTCTTGAGTCTTTATTTATAATTTCTCCAATATTTTTGATCAGCTTTTCCCTAGACGCTTAGACGCTTGCAAATACAGCTTTCAAAAAAAAATTAATTTTAATACTAATAATCGATTAATGATAAAAGATTGTGTTTGGATATATTTTTAGTTAAGCGATTTTTTTCAACTAAAAAATTGATTATTTGCCTAACCAAACAAGCACTAACTTTTCAAAATAAATCAATTATGGATATTCTATTTTGCATGAACGTATGATCTACTCACATTTAAAAAATTCTTGATTCATTTATGCTATTTTGAATATGTATAGATTTAAATTTAAATTTTAATTTGAGTCAAATCCATTGTTTGGATAACTGAAAATATATGAATTTAGATTTGATCCAAATTCAAGTTCTCCCTTAATTTCTTTATAATTTGAAATCCTTTCTAATTAAACTTCTATTATTTCAAATCCTAACTTAAGCTCTTTTGTATTTTGACCCAAATGTATGCAAGCTTGATTCAATTTGCCAACGATAGTTGTACTGAACCACTAAAGTTGATGGAAATAAGTTTCCACCATTGACCAAGATTGGACTGACAGGGACAAGATGGTTAAGTTCCACTGGAATCAAATCGACAGTGACAACAAGGATAGGATGGCTGACTTCCATCGGACCAGACCAACGCCAACGATGGGAACCAAACAATTAACTTCCAACGAGATTGGACCAATAGTGACTGCAGGGATCGAACGGCAGACTTCCACTAGGACTAGACCAACAAGGACTGAACGATAGCCTTCCATTAAGGACTAGACTGACGACAACAATGAGGACCAAATTGTCAACTTTTACTTGGGCCAAATCGACGACCATGACAGGGATCGGACGGTTGACTTCTACTGGGACCGAACCGATGACCATAACGGGGACCAAACGATCAACTTCCACTAGATTGATGGCAACAACGAGGGCATGATGGACGACTTTCACGGGCGCCGGACTAATGATGACGACAAGAACTAGACGACCAACTTCCATCGGTAAAGGATCGATGATAACAACGAGAATCGAACAACTGACTTCCACTGGCACCAAACTGATGATGATGACGGGAATTGGACGGTTGATTTCCACCAAAATCGAACCTATGGCGATGATGAAGACTGAAAGCTCAACTTCCACCGGGCAAGGACTAGACAGTTGCCTTCCATCACCGTCACCGTCAGTTCAGTCCCTATCGTTGGCATCGGTCTAATCTTGGTGGAAGTTGACCGTGCTATCCTTGTCATCGTTGTCGGTTCGACCTTGGTGGAAGTCAACCACCGGTCCTAGTGAAAGTCGGCTGTCTGGTCCTTGTTGTTGTGGTCTGTCTTCATTGGTGTCGGGCCAGTCTTGATAGATGTCAACTCGTTTGATGCCTGTCGTCATCTTCATTCTGGTCTTGACGGAAGTCTTCCATCTGGTTCTAGTTGTAGCCATTGGTTCGATCCCAATGAAAGTCAGCCATCCGGTGCTAGTTGTAACCGTCGGTCCAATCTTAATGAAAGTCAACCATTCGGTCTCCATTATCGTAGGTCTAGCCCTTGTGGAAGCTGGCTGTCCGGTCCTCGCTGTCACTGTCATTTCAGTCCCAGTGCAAGTCTATTGTCTAGTCCCCATTATCATTATCGGTCATGTCCCGATGGAAGTCGGCCTTTCAGTCCTTATTGTCCTCGTCAATCCGATCTCAGTGGAAGTTAGCTGTTTGGTCCCCATCGTCCCCTTTTATCTGGTCTTGATGGAAGTCGACTGTTCGATCCCTATCATCGCTGTCGGTCTGATCCTAGTGAAAGTTGGTCGTCCCTTCCCCCCATCGCCGTTGGCCCTATCTCGATGGAAATCAATCGTTCCATCCTTGCTGTCATGATGATTCAGTCTCAGTGGAAGTCGAAGGTCCCATCACGGTCATCATTGGTGCCACAATCTCAATCGGCTTTGTTTGTCTAATCCCGTTAAAAGTTGGCCATTCGAATCATTGAGTTTGACTATTTTTTTAATTTTTTTAAATTTAAATATAAAATATAAAATTTAAAATTATACTTTAAATCCAAATAAAAGATTTTAATATTTTAATTTAAAATTTTTTATATTATCCAAATAAAAAATTTAAAATTTATAAATTTTAAATAAAAAAATTTATATCTAAATTTTTAACTTAAATTTATCCATCCAAACATAACCTTCAGTTTTTTTAGAAGTTAAAAATCTTGTTTATCAATTTTCTATCTAAACTTTAGAAAACCATTTACAGTACTGATCATCCTTTAGTTCCCATGTGGTGTTTACACTGTCATTTGATTCCTTCGTGCCTTGTAGTGGGGTTTCGTGCAAGGAAATTGTTTGCACTTTGTAGTGACCCCAGTGTTGCCTCGCCTTGTAAATGCAAGTGTGGCATCTTGTGCTCTAAGTTTTCTCATATCAATTTTTGGGCTCCAAGTTTCTCTTTGCAATTTCCACCGTTTTTCCCATAACCTACGCCACTGTGAAGTTTTCCTCTTGCGTTTTCCATTTATGCTGAATATCATCCTCAACCCTCATTTACTTCCCCTACTCATTGGAACACTAAATTTGCTGCCATCACTAAAGACCAAAGATGACCAAACCCTATTGGCTATCGCGAAGACGTAAACCCCAAACAGTCTCTTTCCCTCAAACTCGCAGTGCAGATAGCGGTTTGTAGACAGAAGTACCTCTAATCCTCCCTTTGCATTAAGCCATTGACTTACTTCTTCCTTTATTTGTCTTCAACTTCAAAACTCGACACGAAAGCACCTCCATCGTTAGAGCCAGAAAGGAGATGATTCCTTTACAGTTACTTATTTTGTGAACTTTTAGGGCTTGTCCATCAAAGATGCTACTAAGGTATCAAAAAAGGTTAAATTCAAGTGAGTATATATATTTTGAGTATATATATTTTGTGGTCTTGGTGTTTGGTAAATGTGTGCTTATCGTTAGAAAACTATTAAGGGACATTTGTGTATGTTTATAGAATTAAGGCATAATTTTGAGAGAAGTCACGTTCGTGTTTTCATTTAATTCATGAGTAGGTATTGATTAAAAAAAATTCACAAGTGGAGTATTGGAACCTGCTTCTTCCTACATTTTTCTTAGTTCTTAGCCAAAAGTCTAATGTTGTATCATGTGTCAGCTATTTCTTCTTCCTTATTGCATTGTCTAGATTTCATTAGAATACAACAAATTGCCCTCTTTTTTTGTTAAATTCTATTTTATCTGAATCATGTTTCATCTCTTCCTTGCATTATTGTCAAGCAAACTAAAGGACGCCTAAGGAAGACTTTATTTTGAGATCATAGTCAAAAGTCTCTGGTTTGAATCCGTTCGTTGAAAGCAATTGGAAATTTCGCCCTTCTCCCCCTTTCATGGTTTTAACTTTTAATGTAGTTATTGTTGAGATTAGTTATTAGAAGTTTGTCCAAGCACTATGAGTAAATATTTGATTAATGTTTTATTTATTCCTTGATTAACATACGTATATGTAGAAATCAATTGGTAAAAAGCATGTGCACAAGAGCCTCAAGGTAGTTAACTGGGCTAATGGATGTACTTATTTAACTGTTGTTCTACGTGCAGTAAACCATTGTGTGCATTCTTTTTTGTCCGCACACGCTACAAGATAATGGCCAATGATCTTCAAATCAAAGGAGATCAAAGCATTACCCCTGTTTAGATGCTAGAGATGGGATGATGATGATAGGGTAAATGGTGAGTAGTATATTCAATCATCTATCACCCTTCCTTTTGTATAGAATTAGCATCTTATCTCAGCATGAAGGAAATAACCTTAACTGAGTTTTTTGGAAGACTTTGTTGCATTCATGTGCTAAAGAATGCACTATTGTTTCATTAGATAATCATATCTGAATGGTGATTGGTCATAATTAAATAGTGACTTGTAAATGGATTTTTATAATCAATTATGTATATTATCTTATTTTTAGTTTTTTTTCAGCTCATCTTTGATATTGAAGTTAGTAATTGACAACACTAAGATAAGTTCGATGTTTGTCTTAAGTTGCTTTGAAGTTTGATTCCACAATTAATCTGTCTTGGAGTTCAAATATGTTCACAGCAATTTATTGGATAAGAAATAGACATTTATGATGAACATGCTTCGGTCCTTTCTACTGCTAATTATATGCCATCTTTTGACATGATTGAGATTGTTAAATCAGGTTTTTGTCTCACGTTCAAATGGTGAAAAATATTCAAGTTTATTGTATCCAGGAAAGCCAAATAATTTGAATTAAGCCTTTGCCATCTCCCTTTTGATCTTGCAATTTATATTTCTTAATAACCGTGTTGATTTAATGAGTTGGATCTTTTATGAATGTCTTGAAATGAATTTAAAAAGAGACACAACCAACGGGACAAATTGACTAAATTTTATGTGCCTAAGTAGAGAAAATCCAGTTTTAGGAACTGGATTGTGGGATTAGAATCTGAATAGACAGGATTCTATATATCATGCGTTGTATCCAAGAGCTTGGACAATATATGAGGGTAACCTAGAAAACATAGCACACTTCTAAGTCAATCATGTTATTTTCATGAAAGATAATGAGTCTGACACTAATCATTCATGCTTTCAAACATACAACAAGACCCATCACTAAAAATAGTTTGTCATCATATTTAATCTATCACGCCCCATATTTATAAGGAGAGTAGCTATTCTTTATCAGTTTTTACTTTCATGGTTAGCTATTATCTCCTTAAAATTTTCTTTTGCATTCAGATTTAATTATAAGCAGTTGATTGTGTTCCGTTCAGCTGAATAAATTGGGCAAAACATCAGCAGATGTCACCTTACTTTTCACATGGGTTGTAAGTGATGTTTTTTGTTTGCTGTTATGGTTATTAGAATTTTTGTTAAAGGTAAACCATGTAATGATGAAAGAAAGTGAAGCAAGTAGATATTTTCAATAGCTTATAAATGCTATTAATTATTGCCACAGCAGGGATGTCTACTATCGAGACCTAAAGGTAAGACTTATTCTCCTGTCTTATCAGCAAAATTTCACTTTGATATCAAAAGAAACAAACTCTTATATGGTTTTCATTTTTTATTTAATAAAAATTTTACAGCTAGAAAAGTTGCTATTAGATGCTTCTGAAATTTCTAAAGTTTCTGATTTTAGGTTAAGTGCTCTGTCCCAACAAGTCAAGGTAGTTGTGTTTCATTGCCTTCTAAGATTTACTTTTCTTTGTTATTTATCTTTATTCAATATATTGATAATCCTATTGTCAAGTTTGCTGCTAATCATCCTTTGAGAAAAAGAAAATGAAAGAAAGCAAAACAATTGTTTTTTTAATTTATTTTAACATATCTGTAAATTGGCTAAATGCTTGCTTTTAACACACCTTACATGTGCTTATTTATATGCATGAATCTTGTATTGGCTTTTCAGGATGGGTAATATAGGATTTGAAAAAAGAGAGGGGATATACTAGCTCGCATCACAAGCCTTGTGATTGTTAAACTAGCGCCTACAGTTGAGAATAGAATAAGTAAATGGTGGTATTAAATTGATTAATATTTTTAATAGTATACTTTTAAAGGTCCCATTTTGTTGCTTTGTTCTTTGATTTTTTTTTTAATTGAAAGGCATTAACTATCAATGACTCCATATGATGTTGCAATTAGTATTTTTGGAGAAGATAGCATAATGTCACGGGGCTAGTCTTTCGACCCGTGCGGCACTTAGACAACCTTCACTGGAAGTTGCTAAGTAAGCCTAACTCGTATGAAAGGAGGATGCTTGGCTAAGAAGAGGAAAGGGAAAGCTTGAAGGCAAAGGAGAGTAGAGAGAGTTTGGAGAATGTGAGAGTTCTATAGCTTTGGGAACTCAAGGATGATTTACAAATGAGGAGGGGTGAGGTATTTATAGACCTCCCCTTGGATCTAGAATGTTCCCACCTCCTTAATGGACGGTGGAGATTAAATCTATCCTACGGTTACAATTGATTCTCTAGAATTCTCTTAACAAATATCTAGATATTTTAATGGAAGAATCTAGAGACAATATTAAAATATTGAGGTTAGAGTTGTGTAGGCTTCTCTAGAATGTTCTTGCACTATCTAGCACTCTTAAGGTTAGCTGGGAGGCTTCTGGAGGGTTCTGGAGCATTCCGGACCTCTTTAACCTTGTGAAAAATGACGAAACGTGACATTCTCCCCCACTTGATTTCGCGACACCCTCGTCGCGCCTTCCTCCTTGTAGCGTTGGATTTGGTCAGTGAACTGCCACAGGAGGTCTTCACGTTCCCAACTAGCTTCAAAGTCTGGTTGACCCTTCCACTTGATTAAGTACTCAGTATAGTTGGGAACTCTTCTCTTTCTGATCACCCTGTCGGCAAGGATTTCTTCTATCTCTTTGTTGTACTCAGTGATGACCGCTGTCGGTGCTCTCTTAGAGATACCTCGAGATGGATCTTCTTCATCTCCATAGTATTTCTTCAAGAGACTAACATGGACGACAGGATGAATCTTAAGCCTGGGAGGGAGTTGTACCTGGTACGCAACCTTTCCCACACGTTTAATGATAGGGAAAGGGCCTTCATATCTCCTGACCAAGCCTTTGTGGACTTTGCGTAGTGACTTGAATTGATTCGGTAATAACTTAACCATGACCAAGTCACCTACTTGAAATTCAATGGGGCGCCGCTTCTTGTCTGCCCACTTCTTCATTTTTCGAGAAGCTTTATCCAGGCATGCACGAGTAATGTCGGCTTCTTCTTGCCATTCCTTGGTAAACTTATAGGCAGCTGGATTGTCTCCCTTGTATGGAGTGGCAAGTGCGTTGGGGGTTAGAGGTTGTTGTCCGGTAACTATCTCAAAAGGGCTCTTACCTGTCGACTCACTTCGCTGCAAGTTGTAAGAGAATTGGGCCACATCGAGCAACTTAGCCCAATCTCGTTGATGAGCGCTCACATAGTGGCGAAGGTAGAGCTCTAACAAAGCGTTGATTCGCTCCGTTTGTCCATCGCTCTGAGGGTGAAAGCTTGTTGAGAAGTTCAAGTCTGTCCCCAAGAGCTTGAAAAGTTCTCTCCAGAATTTCCCGGTGAATCGGGGATCTCGATCACTGACGATGTTGCGAGGGATCCCCCATAGCTTCACGACATGCTTGAAAAACAAGCGTGCTGCTTCATCAACCTTGCAATCTACTGGGGCTGGTATAAAGGTGGCATATTTGCTGAATCTATCAACCACCACTATGATACTCCCACATCCTTCAGACTTAGGGAGAGCAACTATGAAGTCCATGGAGACACTCTCCCATGGTCTCTCAGCCACCGGTAAAGGTTCGAGTAGACCAGCAGGATGTTGTTGTTCAACCTTATCTTGCTGGCATACTAAGCAAGTTCTCACATATGCTTCGACATCGTCTTGCATATGTGGCCAATAGAAATGATTTTGCACGAGAGCAAGTGTTCTGGTCATACCTGGATGTCCGGCCCACATGGAATCATGGCACTCTTTTAAGACATCCCTTCGAAGGTTGCCCTATTTGGCACATAGACTCGGTTCCCAATGGTGTAAAGTATTCCATCATTCACCTAAAATCTTCGAGTCTTGCCTTCAGTAGCAAGCTTTACTAAGTTGCTTGCAGATGAGTCCTGAGACATACCTTCCTTGATTCGTTCAAGGAAGTCATTCTGGGGCATGCTTGCTGAGAGAGTGGCTAACTCGGCTTTCCTGCTTAAGGCATCCGCCACCACATTTGCTTTGCCTGGTTTGTACTCCAATCGATAATCAAACTCAGCAAGAAAATCTTGCCAGCGAGCTTGTTTCGGGCTGAGCTTCTTTTGTGTTTGGAAGTAGCTCGTAGCAACATTATCTGTCATAATAGTGAACTTACTCCCAAGTAAGTAATGACGCCAGGTTCGTAGACAATGCATAATGGCAGACATCTCTTTTTCTTGTACCGTGTAGCGCCTCTCTGTGTCATTGAGTTTGCGGCTCTCGTACGCAATAGGGTGCCTTTCTTGTATTAACACGCCCCCTATTGCAAAGTCTGAGGCATCAGTGTGTACCTCAAACGGCTTGGAGTAGTCGGGCAAGGACATAACAGGCTCTTGCGCGACCATCTGCTTGAGCTTTTCAAAAGCATCTTGGCAATCTTGTGACCATTGCCAAGACTTATTCTTCTTGAGCAAATCTGTTAATGGAGCAGTGATAGTTGAATACCCCTTGATGAATCGCCGATAGTAGTTCACCAGACCAAGGAATGATCTTAACTCTGGGACCTTGGTAGGAGGCTGCCATTCTTGGATGGCTCGAACCTTAGTTGGGTCCATTATGAGCTTTCCATCCTTGATCTTGTGCCCCAAGAAGTCCACCTCTTATTTACCAAAAGAACATTTTTCCAGCTTAATGTAAAGTTCATGATCAGAGAGTACCTGGAAGACTTTCTTTAAGTGTTGAGCATGCTCTTCAAGAGTGTTGCTATATACTACGATGTCATCCAAGTATACCACCACGAACTAGTCCAAGTAAGGGTGGAACAACTTGTTCATGAGTGTGCAGAACGTTGCCGGGGCATTTGTCAGTCTAAAGGGCATGACAAGAAACTCGAATGCTCCATATCTCGTCACGCAGGTTGTCTTCGGCTCATCACCTGCGGCGATACGTACTTGGTAGTACCCAGATCGAAGATCAAGCTTAGAGAAGTACCTGGCTTTTCCAAGTTGATCGAACAAGTCGGCGATCAAAGGTATCGGGTACTTATTCTTGATAGTAATCTTGTTCAAGGCCCTGTAGTCGATGCACATTCGCAACGATCCATCCTTCTTCTTCTGAAAGAGGACTGGAGCACCATATGGGGCCTTAGATGGTTGAATATATCCTGAATCAAGGAGATCTTGCAGTTGTCTCCTTAACTCTTCAAGTTCTGGAGGTGACATGCGGTAAGGTGCCAAGGCAGGTGGTTTGGCACCAGGCTCTAACTCGATCTGATGGTCTACCTCTTTTCTAGGGGGTAGTTTCTTAGGCAACTCATCGGGCATAACGTGCTTGTACTCCTGTAGCACCTCTTGGATGCAAGGTGGCAAGGTTTCCCGAGGCTTGGTTGGGCCATCCTCTTCCTCGGCCAATGAACGTACAGTGGCAATATACCCTTCTGAATTCTTGAGACCCCTCTTGAATTGCAAGGCAGAGATCATAGGGTTGGATTTCTCCAAGCGTTTCAAGGGGATTACCCAGATCATATTAGAGTCAATAACCACCATAGACTTAGCTTCGGGAATAGGGAAGGCATGTGCTTTGCAAAAGAAAGCAAGTCCCAATACAACTTTGAAATCATCCATAGGGACAACAGTAAAGTCCAGCGTACCTTGCCAGTCCCCGATCTTCACCTTCACATCCTTGGCAATCCCAAGGACTTGTTTGGCTGGGGAGTTCACTGCCTTGATGGTGCCTTCTCCCTTGTTGAGTTGGATACCCAACCTCTTAGCTTCTTCAGCCTCCATGAAGTTGTGGGATGCTCTTGTGTCGAGCATGGCAGAGGCGGACTTGCCTTGAATGGCAAGATCAGCATAAAGTAGACCCTTCTCTTCCTTCTTAGATGGGGAAAAGAGTCCAGTCAAGGAATTCAAGTGTTGGAGGGAACCAAGGTCGATCTGTTGCTCCTTGTCCCGGCTTTCTTTCATCTCAGCAACCAAGGCATTCATAGCCTTGCGGTTGGGGCAGTCACGAGTCCAGTGTGGACCATCGCACATAAAGCATGGCCTCGGTGGCTTTGAGGCATCACGCCTGATTGAGGGTGGTTTATCCTGTCTAGAACTCCCACCAAAGATTCTACCACCATCCTTACGATCGAAATTCTTCTTTTGTCCTCCTTTGTCTCCTCCACTGCTACCAGGATTAGGCTTTTTGGACTTGGTGGAGTAGTTGATTATAGACTCGGCAGCAGCAATTGCCTCATCTAGAGTTTGCACTTTGCGTCTATCCAGTTCTACTCTCGCCCAGTCTTTAAGTCCGTCCATGAAGTAGAAAAGAGCCTCCTTGTCGGACAGGTCCTCGATCTCGAGCATGATGGTAGTAAACTCTTTGATGTAGTCAGGAATACTACTAGTTTGTCTTAATCTACGAAGCTTACCTTGAGCCTCAGTCTCTGCATTGTGGGGAACAAAGTGCTTGCGGAGTTCTGACTTGAACAGCTCCCATGTGTTGAGAGTGCAGATGCCCTTCTCTCGCTTGGCATGCTTTCTGCGCCACCATAGTTGGGCTGCATCCCGAAGAAAAGTTGAAGCATTGTTGATTCTGATCGAATCATTAGAGACTCCTATGGCCTCAAAGTACTGTTCTAGGCCAAAGAGAAAGTTCTCCACAATTGTAGCACTACGAGCCCCATTGTACATGGCCGGCTTGGGCACTTTCAGACCCTGAGAAGTGGCGTTTGAAGTACTACCACTAATAGGGCTACTCACACAGTGATGAGAATCCCATTCATGACGAATCTCATCCATTTGAGAGCGTAAACCTCGTACCTCATCCCTCACATATTTGCGGAGATCGGCGAGATCACGTCTGAGGGAACGAATGTCTTCCCCTAAATCATCGTTAAGGTCTGCAATCATCAACTTGGCAGCCCGCGTTATCTCAGCATTCTCTTGGAGGAGATTGTTGAGTTGATTGTTGAGTTCCCCTATAGTAGTTCTCAC